CTCAAGAATTTCATTTACATGAGCGATGCAATTTTCTCAAGCGTATTATTAAAAATATCCTGGACGACGTTTTTAATGCTAGATATTTATACAAACAAATCGCCAACAGTCTATTTACCATTGAAGATTTACGATACGTGTTAAAATTTGAAAAAATTGCTTTGCTGTTACGTTAATTTTTATGCAGCAATGTAATTTTAATATTAACTTCACTCGTAATTGGCTTTATCGAAAGCTAATATTGTATCACGGATGAAAATTTGTATTTAATAATTAATTTTGGGTAACACAACTCGAATTGCAAAAATAAATACACGGTATTACTAAACACAGACATACACACTGTGCCATGAATTATTTTCGAGTTCAGGAAGTTATAAATAATTTTCGTTCTGGCCACTAAAGTCATAACTGTGAAAAAATCCAAGTGTCCAATTTAAAGTGCGACCATTTTGTTAATTTCCTTCAGAATATTATACGTAACTTGTATTAAACAAATTGAGCAGGATAGTTGACATTTTTAGAGAATCTTTTATATACGTATGCATATGTTTAAATAAACGTTTCAAATTTCACCAAGTTGTGACGAGTATTTTGGCTGTAAAAGAAAGCGTGAAAATTGTCTCGAAAGTGGTAAAAAAAAAAAAGACTAACTACCCCGTTAACAGTATCGCAATTAACGTTTATCTAATAAAGCAAAAGAAAACGAAAGTAATTTTACGAATGACTCATTTCTTCCACGGTTCATTGACGTTAATCTGGAACCAAGCGGCTATTTTCGTAAATCGGCTTTCCTGCTGGTCAGTGTAATTTCGGTAGCGTTGAAATGTGAGATTCCGTGGTCATGAATTACGGTTTACTTGTAGTTTGCGGCGAAAGACTGTATATTGAAAGCTATTCGTTTCTTCAAACGTTCAGCGACACGGTGTGAAATACGGTGTAAAATTCCCAGAGACCAACATGCTACGCTTCAATCTTCCTGTTGTTTTCTTGGAAATTATGCTTTATTGAAAATTTCAAACGTTGAGGAATACACAGTCACTGCTCACGTTTCTTGGTCAATCGGTGTACTAAATAATAATTAGAATTAATTATAAACTTGAAATAACTGTAGGTTTTATATTGTACAGTCGATGTTACAGAATGAGATACTTTCATGAGATTAATAACATTGACAAAAGTATGTAATTTTTACGAATTATTATATACCTAAATAAAAGTTTAAGTCGTCGAGACAATGATTATTTAAACACGAGAATCTTGCAATCTTTAAAATAAGTAATAACTTATAAGTAATAAGTCGTCGAGACAATGATTATTTAAACACGAGAATCTTGCAATCTTTAAAATAAGTTATTACTTATAAGTTATTACTTATTTTAAAGATTGCAAGATTCTCGTGTTTAAATAATCATTGTCTCGACGACTTAAACTTTTATTTAGGTATATAATAATTCGTAAATATTTATTTATTAATAAATACTCTTCATATTACTAGTAAGTTATGACAGACATGATATGACTCTATGGTTAAATATTTTGAAGCATTTTTGATAACACAATTAGCAACGAATATTTCAACATTTTTGTTTATTTACAGAATCGTTAGCAAGTTTATCAGATGTTAATTGAGTGTTTCGACACTACTGACTGACTGTTAAATAAAAAATTGTTTTGAAATAGATCTGAAACTTAAAGTCTAGCGTACTTATATCTAGAAAATGTCTGGGCCAACAAATAGATTATTCAAACAATTTCTCAAGGGATTGGCATAATATTGGCATGTCTAATATAATATCCATTAAAGTAATCAAGTAATTTAAGGTGGTTGTCTCGAGATAGTCACCCTCAAAAGTTGAAAATCGTAAATTGGAAACTCTTGTAAAAATACAGCCATACTGTTCTCACACACATCCATGATATATCAATACGTATATTTACACATATGTTTATAATACTTCTCTACGTTCAGTTTCAAATTTTAATGAATTATCTATATCTCAGTAACGCCGCGACCGATAGTTGTTTTCTTTAAATGGTTTATAATATCGATTTTTATACCATATCAAATTTTTCAGCAGGTTCCTAGATTGCATATTATGATTTAAATTGAAAAATTCACGTGAAAATCTGTATGTTCCAAAAGGGTCTGTGTTAAAATTACAAAATTTTTATATCGTTTTTCATAACACTAGGAGGATCAATTTAAATGAAATAGGCTCGTATGATTCATATTTAATCAAAGAACAAGCAAGTGAAGTTTTGTTGAAATCCACGAAGTAAATCCATGATAGGTTTCCAAATAAATTTTTCATTACAGATATTTACATGTGTAAAGTTTAGTGTAGATATTTATAATGGAACATTTATTTGGAAAGATCAAACCTGTCACTTAATTAAGATAAATTTATGTAATAGACACAGAAGGTACGAATCATTTATAACAATGACTGTATATCGACGTGAACCTATGATCTATCATCACAAATATATACATATGTACAAATGTATACATGAAGTTTAGTGTACATGTTTATAATGAAACATTTATTTGGAAACATCAAACCTATCATTTAATTAAGATAAATTTATTTAATAGACACAAAAGGTACGAATATTTATAAGAATGACTGTATATCGACGTGAACCTATGATTTACCATCCCGAGAATGTACCCATGTAAATTAAAATCGGCTGGTGGATCAAGTTGAATGGTTGCTTCTCTAAGTTGCGGCTGCTCACGGTATACCGTTCCCCGAACCGTGGAACCACGGTTTCTGGAGGCTGCGCATAAAGGCGGGCCAATGTAAACCGCAATCTTCATTTGTTGCTAGAAGGCTTGCGGCCAGCTGGCTGTCAGTACAGCTTTGTTCGGTGTTTTCGTTGGCACGGAACGGTACCGTGTTTGTGCGCGTGGCACGCAACCCGGAAAGGTCAGCACCTACCTACGTCCGTTGGTATTAAAGACTCGTATCGTGTTCACGCGCAAATTGCCATTTATAAGGATCGAATGATTGTTATCGTTCAGGACGATAACTGATTTTTTACCCCAAAGTATCGTTGTTCCGCATAACGGCACGCTCGCATTTCAATTTCCCTGGCCTTCTTTCGCCTCAATGTTTCGCAAACCGTGCTCCGTGCACCACTGAGGCTCTGCAAGCTCTCCAGGGAAGGAAGAAGCTTACGGTCAAAACGCAGGGTGATTTTTTACCAATTTTCTATTAAAACTTCTCGTTTTGCAGCATCTATAGAGCAATTAGGGTGATAATTACATTCTCATTAAAAGGACTTTCAATAAAATCGATTTTCCAGTTTTTGCTATTTTGTTAAGTATCAAGTTGCCCAAAAAGTTTCTTTCGCAACTTGCACTCTTATATGGCAGTGTTTATATGAATAGACAACCTTATCTCTTGGAAGTTGACGTTCTAACAGTAACAGGACAAAATGGATCGTACGCGACTCTGTAATGTAACATAAAACATAAAATAATATACACGTATACTACTAAAACGAAAGAAACTTTTCAGACAACTTAATGCATAAACTTGAGTGGTATCCAACAAAATTTTACGGAGATCCGATAAATATCTCGAAGTTGCAGGCTTAATAAAGACTTTTTTTACTAGGTGTAAACGATATCTGAAACTTTAAACGCGTTTTTCGTAAAAAAAAAACTTGTTAACTCGATAATACGAATAGCTCGAGAATATCTCAGTTCGATAGATGGTCGACTGTTCTCTAAATTTTATATAAAGTGTAGATTATTAAATTCTCCTCGTTCTTACTCGGTCAGTTTTATTTGTATTCATCTCCATGTCTCGACTGAGAATGAATTTTGTCTCGTTTTACCGCGTTGCGTACAACTTGCCAGCGGAAAAATCTGCAACTGATAAAGTGGTTTCTATCAATCACATGCGTTTCGACGAGATTAAACGTACGCGAGATTCGTTGCGTCGGCTACCCGTCGAGTATTCATTTTGCAACGCCACATGGAAGTTATCCCATTAAAATTACGCAGCGTACAGCGGATTAATTGCAATGACCGCGATGGAGCGCATGCTTGCATTTTCCTCGTCCGTTGCAATTCCGTTGAATTTCTGTGAATGCAGCCGCAAAAATTGTTAACGTTAAAGCATTCGTGAAGTATGCATTAATTTTAAACTTTCGCCGAACGCGGGATCGATTTAATATTTAATTAATTGTAATTGTGCATGCGTAACGTATAATTTTATTCTGTTGGATTTTGTACGTACACTTGGGGACAAAATTCGGTGGACAAGTGATGGAAATAATTATTATCCAAAGTTGCGTTTCATTCGTGAACCTCTTGTGATTTGGACAAATTATTTTTGAAATCATCGACATAAAAAGAGATGGTATCGGTCTTCAAAGATCTTCCTGAAGTATATCGAAACGAAATATCTATAATTGAACTGAATAAAGAATCAGAAGTTTGTAATAAATGCATATAAATAAACGTAAGTAAATAATAAAAAAACATACAATATAAATAAAAGATATGACAATATAATCATAATATGCGATAGATCAAACCATCTTATATTATTAAATTAAGCATTGCTAAATTCAAATCTGAATGAATTAAATGTTTGCTCTCCCAGGAAAATTTTATTTACCGTAGATACTATATAGACAACACATTTTAATCAATAACTGAAGTCAATGTTAACATTTCTGTATAATTAAATTGTGTTTATCCAGTTGATTCCCAGTGTCCTTCCAAAATGATTTAGATTTTATCTTGCACAAGATTCTTAAATATATTGTTATTATATGTAAATATGTATATTAGACTGAGGTCGTAGGATCCACAATAATAAATGAAATTTAAGTTTACGTCAACAATATGTTCTGATTAAATTTGGTTAACACACGACCGCACTTGTGTATACAATCTATAATATCGAATTTCAATATTAGATGTACCAGTAGAACGTTGCAATTTTAATTAATGTTTGGAAATTAATTTTGTGTTCCAGATCAGCTTTAGGATGAATCTGTTCCTACGTTGCCTGAACAACGACATGCAAGTACGATGTGTCGCTTGGAGAGCCATCAGGGTCATCCTGCTGTAATGGTATGCATTTTATATTAATGTAAATGGTTTAATATTCCATCTTAACAAACTATTTTGATACACAGGGTTCAGAGAGCCATTCTTTGGATTATATACTGTCTTAAGCTGAAGATTCTGAAAATGTGTTCCTGAAATATTGAAATGAAATAGTAAAATTTGCAAAATTGCCAGAGTTATATTAATAAAAGTTTTTTTTTTTTTTTTTTTTAGCTAAAAGACATTCATTCGAGTAAAGTAACTGTCTGTGAATTAGGCGATATAATAGATAATTCATAAAATATCATAAAAGGATAATCTTCATCCAAACTTCTATTTTTCTTTTTTGATATTTTTCTATTTCTGTTTTGGATATATTAATGAATTTCGTAGCTTCTAAAATTATTTCTCCTTTATCTTCGTTTTATACACGTCAGACGACTCTACGTATTCGGTAGAGGTAGAGGTCGTAGCCGTAACGATTTATAGTACGATTAGTCGTACGTCTAATCCCAACGATAGGTAGTTGTACGGTAGCGCCATACTGACATCCAACACGCCCACCTCGTGATGGGGCAATTTATAGGGTTGAACGTAAAGTTTTGTATTTTATTCGACAAAAGATACAGTCGTTTATTTTGAAACGTAAGCGTTTTTTTTTCATTTAAATGATGGAGTTATTAAAATTTTCAAGGGAATAAATTTATAGCCTTTTGTGCCAATTATTGCAAAAGACGATGATAAATTTTCGTTTTAAAATAACAAATTTCATATCGATTTTTATTATCAAAATAATAACCTAAACTACACATCTGTATGAAATTTTGACACGCAAGGCAAAACGCATTGCCTGGAAATGAATGATTTATCCTTTCACCTATTTTTTCTTTTTTACACTGAGTTTGCAACGTCTTCGTAAAATAAATTATTTGTAATTTCGGTTTATTTGATATACTATACAAAACCTCCGAATATTTAAGTTTCGAAACTAGTTTTCTCTAGGAACAATAAAATATATTCCTGTAAACATATTTACTCCATTTTACCTGCTTTGTAGCTGATAACTAATTTCAGTCGACTGTTTACAAACAGACCAGAGTATCGTGTGACTGTTTGCTATTTTGTAAGCACTATCATGTAATTATTTACGAGTTATTTCGATACGTTCCTCCGATAAGAACTTTACATGATAAAGCTTTGTTGTGCGTTACGCTCGAACTGATAATGCCAAGTTATTCTATCGCGTACTTGGCAGATACCTATTGGGAAACTGTTTCGTATGCAGACGTTTTGTTGTAATTACGTTATATTCGATAACGCCATGCATCAGATAATTATCGGCTGCTTCTTGATTAAAATAATCGCCTACAGTTATTACTTTAAACACGAACAACGAAGCTTTGACACGTAAAGTTCTTATCAACCGAGTGAACTGAAACGCTCGTTGAACTCTACGAGGTTGAAAAACTCTGGGTAATGTGTAAAATAGTGGAAGCATAAGAACAAGACTACTAGTCGATATTATTAGTAACTAATAATTGTAGTAGCAATGTAGGTTCGGGTTTGTTTATTCTAAATACTCTTAATCGCTTACGATGAAGATTATTACACCTTCTAATCTACCAGTAGTAATTTAATCTTGATGGATGCCTTGTATTTTGTATTAGGTTGTCCCGAAAGTTTCTTTCGCGAGTTGCACTCAATTATTTTATGCGATCGTGTTTATATAAATAGACAATCTAATTTCATAGATATTCGTGTTGTAACAGTAATGGAGCAAAATGAATCGTGCACAATTCAGTAATGTAACATAAAACATCAAATATTGTGCATCTATTACTTATTAATAAAGCGAAAGAAACTTTTGCGACAACCTAATATTTATTTCAAGTGATTAACTATACAGGCATAGTTATTATACTAACACATACTTCTCACTTATTTCCATTTTTCTTATCATAACATTTTTTTTTTTTTTTCATTAGTACACAAAGTGCCAAGGAATAAGGTACCAATATGGTTAAAAATAACAATAAATTTAAAATATAAGTTTTTAATAAACTGTAAAAAAGTAACATAAGATAATGCAAGGAGTAAAATTTATTCAATCTTTCCATTCAAGGGTTAAATTAGTTAGTTATAGAAAAAGCGAAGATTTTCAAAGCGATAACATCGTTCCTGACGAATATCAACAAAGAAATATAAAATGTATTTTTATATAGACTCCTTTTTATAAAATATACATACTTTTAAATACTCTAAAATTAATGACAAGACTGAGATATCGACAGGTAATAAGATATAATTATAAATAAAACATCAGTATTAAAAGAAAACCATGCGATACTAGTAGAATATTGAGAGTCAGGGTTAAATCAAAGTCATGAAAAACAATTAAAGTATTCCATTATGTAGGAATCTAATGACTTTAAAACGTATTACAGTTTGACAACGAATTATTTATTGTCCGACTTTTACAACTGTCTCGACCGAACTGAACTCCTAATTATTATAAATAACAAATCACACCGCGTTCCCACGCAACCATTGCATACACGGATACACTCGTATTACATATCACAATCCTACAGTTATAACAATATTTTATTTATAATGATATAGTTAAATACATAAGTTTACTTTGTAATTAGTTACGCACTTTAATAAAACAATGAATGAACGAACGAATGATATTCGCATACTATAGCCCCTGAAGTCTTGATGGATATGTCTTCGTTTTTTAACCGATTTCGAAAAAGGCGGAGGTTACTCAATTCGACATGTACATTTTTTGTTGCAGTGGTTATTACGTAATGAAAGGAGGAGAATGCAGAGCGGTAGAGGAGGCTAGATGAGCCCCAACCCACAGACTGGTGCATGTGCAGAACACCAAACAATCGCACGCAAAGCACGAAAACGCACATCTCCGAGTGGACACGGAAACGTAAACAAGCACATGTGTGAAAGAATACGCGGTCCATCCTTGGCCCGCCATTTTGGCAGCATGGTCCTTTGGGCCACTGTACTATTCCTCCAAGGAGCTGGTTTCGTCGGTAAGATATATGTACTTTTTTAACAAGTAAATAAATCCTATCTTTCTGATATGTAAGAGCAAAAATAATGACGGAGGTATCGCATTACTGCTCGGAATCCTGCATTCAAACCCATTTTTATCCTCATTCAAGGGACCCTCTTGGCTATAAATATGTTACGTGGCGGAAGAAAAATCATATAAACTAAGGTGGACGAATACGAGTACGTTCAGATATCGAAATAATAAAGAAAATATAGTGTATTTCTTCTGAGTGATTACTAATCAGTGTATCATACCTCTGTTATTATTGTCTATGAGTGTTCATGTTCAATCTTTATCTTTTAGTTACCGTTAAAAGTGTTTTAAAATCCATTTTTTTTTTTTTTTTTAAGTGAGCGCTGTGATTGGTCAGTGTTTTTTCGTTAATAATTAAAAAGCGAAGCACCATCCGATATTTCTGCAAAAGAAATTGTGGTTCAGAATCGTCTCAGCTACCCACCATTTCTGGTTCTTATACTAATTCTGGAACACAATGTATACATTGTATATGTATTCACAGTACATTTATGTCTGTAGTAAAACAAAAGGTTGAGTTATAGTAAATATTCCAACAGGTACGATAGGAATATTTAATGTAACGAATGAATCGAACGAGAATATAATTTTTATTCTAATCTCATTTCGTTGTCGCACAATAGCTATGGATGTACTACTTCTGCAGGAGACTGGTTCATTACGCATCTGACGTTTGATAAATAAGTTTTTATTTTATTTCTTTCGTGATTTCTCAATGCAATCTTCATTAAGAATGCATTTAGTCCAGCAATACTGCACCGTCGTTGTTCCCTCTTTATAATCTGATTTCTCGAGATCTGCGAAATAGTTCACAGCTGCATTTATCCCATTTATTCCATGACAATTTATGCTTAGCTGAGAATTTAAAAGAGACACTGAAGGATTGCTTGAATCGAATTAGAGAACAGTCATGTTTATTTAGCGTATTGGAATTATTCAATTCTAAACTTTCTTAAAATAATTATTTAATACTTTAAGGGTGCACTAATCATTTTCCAATATTTCTAGTGTTAGTTTGTGTTGAAAAAAAAATTCTTAGTTTGCAAGATTATCTTTTCAGCAGTTTCTACCTAAGACTTCTATACGTGGAAAATTGAAAGGAATGCTCTTATTTCAAGGAAATTTTCATGATTTTCTTACAGCCAAAGAACTTGACATAAACGTTTGAAATATAATTTAGTAGAAATAATTTAAACACCTTAAGTAACTTTATGTTTGTCTTTGGCTCCTTACTCTTGGGTATGGGGGTGCGATACTACAACTTTTTCGATTGCTTGAACACCTTAAGAACGAAACGTCACGGAACTTTTGCTCTGGCAAATTAAGAATGTTACTTTTTATTCCGTTTTCTTACTTCACGTTTAATCGCCAGTGTATTCACCAGCGCACTCGTATTTGATTTTTCAGGATCGGTGACAGGTATTCCTGGCGTCCCGGAAAATATTACAGTGATGTTTCTGAATCCGACGTCTGTCCGCGTTTCTTGGAGCACCAGTCAAGTCGAGCAAGTCGAGAAATACGATGTCACGTACAAACCAACCGATGCCAGGTGGGTTTCCCCGATTTCGATATTGTACAACTTACTTTGTACACGTATGTGACTGAACTGATGGGAATCGCGTACATTCTCCTGGCAGTACATCAGCGTATCACGGAAATAGTAAAACGTCCAATACGAAAAGTACATTTACAGAGACCGAATCGATACCATCACTTGCGAAATTTTTAGTTTATAGGTTTCCCTAATTTTTGTAATGATAAGTAGAATTAATTTTTGGGTTAAATTGCTGTCGTTTGTTTCTTTTCATAGAGGCAATATGGAAAGTTATGAATATTGTTAATTCAAAATATCGTCAAAATTATAAGGATTAATTAAGAATTTGATTAAGTTTAAATTCAAATACCCAAAATATGAATTATATTAGACGTAAATAAAGAAATCATATTTAAATGAAAGTATCTTATCTCCTAAACAGTGTAACATGTATTTCATTGTTACATAATCTTCACACATTTCCTATACTTTTAATTGACAAAAATGCATAAACGTACGCAATCTACTAATAAGTTGGTATAGTACACTCGCTATCATCGAATAATCTATAACAAAATTTTAATTGTCTTAAATCCATACAACGAGCAAACAAAGAAGACACTATACATTTCTAAACATAGTACGAAACAGGAAAATAACTAAGTACACGAGACACGGAAATATTAATAATAAGTGAATTAGAAATTAATATTTTAACCCATTTATCAATCAATACCAGTCTGTCGGTGTCAGTTTTTAAGGAAGGCTTAATATTAACTGATACTTTCACTTCTATTGCGGCGCAGGAAACACAATGACAGGTACATACACACTTTTTAAAGTATTTTTTTTTTTTTCAAAATTATGCATCTTTACAGACACCTTCTTGTTGTTTCGGAGTAGTGACAAAACGAATGATGGGTGTAGTGCAAAGTACGATTATTTAATAGTAACTCTGCACGCCATAGTGTAGTAAAGTATTATGAAAATGTGTTTAACAAGATGAATGGTACTTTACACCACTAGAGCAATAAATAAGTCCTCGATTACTTAAATACCATAGAACGTTTGGTAATTTTCACATTTTTATTTCATACGCCAAACTTAAAAATATTAATAAATCAAATACTTAAATAGGACATAAGACACAAGGAATATTGTATCATTTTAACGCTGTGCGACATGAAAATTGACTAAGTTGTATAATAATTAATTTTTGTGAGTTTGAGACAGACTAGTAATTCATATCTCTTGTGCACTTTTGTTTACCTTTAATTATTCAGAAAATTCATGGCAGTTCTATAGATGTAAGGATATTTACACAATTACACACAACATAAGAATTTTTTATCAGTGATATATAATTTACTTACCTATTTAAACATACTCCAAGTTCTTAAAACAATCAAGACAATTTATGCATTGACAACTTCTGCATAATCAAACATAAATATTACTGACTGGCTTTAATTTAAAAATTTTAACAAGCCTAAGTTATCATTTATTTAGTCGCATTCATCCTCGCGCTTCGGAAATCATTTTAGACTTGAGAATTGAACTTGGATCTTTAATTTTTAATAATTTGATAGAAAGGTAGGTTTAAATAAACCAAAAACATACAACTTGAATTAGTTAAATTTTTTAACTAATTAACACAACATTTATCTTCCAAACAAACATATCCAGAGTCTGACTCTGGCTCAAATCCTGGGTTAAATTTTGTATTTGTCGATTAAGAAATATTTAACTCCATAACTGAAATTTCAATTTTTATTTAAAGAGGAACGGATAAACAATTGTTTATATTGTGGTCGTTTTTCAATACTTTTACCTAGACAAGAATTTTGCCCATCTCTGCATCTTAATGCAGATATCGTTTTAGCACGTAGCGAAAGTCGAATGAAATATGGCTCCCACGAGACGAAGGTACGGTACGATGCATATACGTTCTGTACCGCAGTGAACGTATTAAATTTTCATATTCCGCATGAATAGCCTCTGCGACACGAGAATCATGCGTCAGGAGGCTGGTTCATGCCCATACTAACAAGGGTATCACTTGCTTCAACTTCTCATCGCTAACATCGACTAGATTCTCCTGGATAACAATTATTATATCTTGGCTACTTATCAGACACATACCTGAGTAAATACATTGTTCGTATTGCTATCTTCGTATCATGCATGTAGTTACGTATGTACAATTTTTAATTGCTACTTCTTAAGTCTAACTTCATAATGTATTCTTGTTTTGGATTGAAATATGTATTTAAATTTTGAACAAAAATTCTGAAATTTTAGTTACAACTACGTTTCTTTGTATCATGCATGTAGTTACGTATGTACAATTTTTAATTGCTACTTCTTATGTCTACCTTCTTGAGCGAATCCTTGTGTAAATTTAAAATAAAAATTCTTGAATTTAATCAGCGATGAAAGTACTTTTCTAATCCTCCTTTGAATAAATTTCATTTCATCTCTTGAATAGAAATTATTTCTTGTTTATAAATTCACGAATAAATTAATACCGGAACAAGATAATATTTTAATTCTCGCATAACGATCACTGTTCACCGACCTAGCAGTTATCGGTCAATGATCGTGCGGTTTCTTGCAATTTTAAATACACGCAGTTGTTTAAAGTACCTTGAAGTTATGCGATCGAAACACGTAATTACAAATTATAGGCTGTAGCGACAGTAACGCTTTCCTCGCTATACACGATGGCTAAGGTACGATCGTGACATGGGACACTTATATACAAAGTAAGCAACTCAAAATTGGCAATCTAAATAAATTATTTGCTTTTCGTAATCAACAAAAAGATGGTTCGTTTAAATTTATTTAATTTCAAGGAGAATATAGAAAAAGATTTGATTTTATATAATATTTAACATTTTAGCTACACCTCTTTTCTTATACATTTTCGTGGCTTTGTTTTGATTCCTATACTAGCATATAGATATAATATATTAGGTACAGGTGTAAAAAGGACATGAAGATCGTCTTCATCTTTCTAAATTTATAGTGTCGTATCTAAGCTTTTTCTTCGCTCTTCTAAATTTATCCTGTCGTATCTAAACTTTTTCTTCATTTTTCTAGATTTATAGTGTCGTGTCTAAATCTTTCCTACATAGTGTGTTGATTGAACCTTGGCATTATCGGTTGAATTACACTATTGTTTCATCTGGCATAGTAGGGATGACTATAGCAGTAGATAATTGGTGTGTTTGATGCCATGTACGTCAATGATTCTCTACGGGAGGCGTACGGCTCCCCTAGTGAGTCGTATTGCTTGCGTGCCACGAGCAAGGTACAAATAGGATGACACAGAAACTTCTGAATGGGCTGCTTGTTACATAATTATTATAACAATAGTATGCACAATAATAACTATACTATAAGTATTACACAAATATTACGATAATAAAAATATGTATAACCAGATTACAAGATTGTTCGATCGAGTTGCAGAATAACTCCAAGACTTTAATTAAATTTATAAGCACAGAAGCAAATTTCTAAATTACTACTATTAATTTAATAATGAAATTGAAAATAAATTTTGTCTGGCTTGGAGAGAAAAGAAAATTGTTTTTTATTGGATTTTCTAGTTCTGTTTGGTTGAGTTTGTTTTCATCAAGGTCCTCGCATGTTGTCAAATACATAACTGACTCGATATCATAAAGAAAATTTACGAGCCTGCTAAATAGTTTGTATCTGCTGCAAGGCTCGTAATAAACAACGGTAATATCATGGCAATGCATTTACTACAAACGTATATTTTTATTCATTTTTATACTAATGGCGAACTATTTCCTTATTTCTTAGGAATTTATCTGTTTAGCATGGTGGATTCGATATGTTTTATTTTATTCTATAATACATTACGAACTGATTTTATTGTTTTTATTGTATTGTATCGCATGTCACGATTGAAAAATTACGATACCATGCTAGCAACCACGAGAAAAATTAAACAGACAAACAGTGCCTAGATATAGGTCACGAGGAAAGATAAATCGAGGAACCCTGGTCTACGTGACACGTTTAGATGATGCGTACCAAAAGTGGGGAAAAGTTTCTAGCTTTCCCTTCCGACGATTATTTCTCTGACATTCTTGGGAACCAGTTTGCTAAATAATTATTGGAATGTGTCTGATGATTAGTCTACTGACACGTGGGGTTCAGAACTGTCCAGGATTCTCAGATTATGATGTTTTCAGGGTAATAAAACTAGAGCCTGGAACGTGAGACGCAATAATAATTTTTATCGTAAATTCCGAGTTCGATAGGTAGCTTGATTGAACATCCAATCAACACTTAATAAGATAACAAAACACGAAATTTGCAATTTAATTCTTGTTTCCAAAGAATTATTTGGAGTCCTTAACCTACCTTAAAATGATTTAATTTTAATCGATTCAATATAAGTTGGAAACACCTAACCACGGCTAAGAGGTTAAAAGAGAGCCCTCAACCTCATTTTTAATTAAATGATAGAGCTGGGACCACTAATACACTGCGCGATAGTTTAAGGAGAGTCATTTGTTTTCAAAGTACTTATCGCTGTAATTCATTATCGATTTCCTTATTCGAAGAATGGATTTTCTCTCTTTTGGCGTGCTACTCTACTTTCGCTTTTCATCGAATAAAATGGACAATTTTAGATGAATTGCAAGATTGTACGTTCCACATTGAGAATTAATTAACCGTACCCTTCATTGCATTCAGAGTATTTAAAAACCCACGCATGTGAAACAACAATTCTAATGGAACCTTCGAATGAAGTTTGAATGGCAGTGATACCAGAAAATAATAAATTTTAGATGCAATTTAAAACTATTGTAGGAGTCTCTACGAAAAATGAGACGTGGAGATTCGAACCCACGATCCTCGAATCCACGGTCGAGCGCTTTTTCTACATGACCAATCCCGCATCTTACGACTCGTGTTCATCTTTGACTCCTTATTCTTGGAAAATGGGACCCGATACTACACTATCATAATTTATTCCCTTTCTTTTGTTTGCCGCGGTGTGTATGGAAAAAAATACTCGTAGTCATTAATAGACGTGTACAGCTTGTGACTATCGACGTGTAATTTGTTACAAAGACAATATTATCTCTGTGTACTTACACTAATCGTTAAGGGGGTATTATCGTCTAGAAGTTTGTTTTTTCAGTCATTTTTAGGAATTAATTTTTGCGAAAACTATCAAACCTACAGTACCAGGGTTTTTTATGCATAATAAAACACGTTTCAACTAACAACACAAATTTCTATGAAATACTTCATTGAAATCTATACAAGTTATGCGCTGTTATGCAGGTTGTGGCGTGAGACGCTCGTTCAATCGGGCGCACAGGCTGTGGCGGTTCTAGTCATCTGAGACAGAAAAATAAATTTCTTTTTTCAATCTATATGAATGTAGTTATCGTCTGAACTAGAATTAAGTAACTACTAAATTTTTTGTCGGAATCGCAGCTGTTTGAAAATTAAGGTTTAATTTTCCCGGAAAATTGTCAACTAAAATATGAGAGCAGGGCTAAAATATTCAAGCTATCGGTACAATTCTAGTTCAGACCATAGGTGGTCTGGTGCCCTCGAAATGTGTGTAAAACCAGAAGTCATTCGGTCCAATAGTTTTTGAGAAAAACGTGCACCCGACTTGAAAAATGTCGTTTTGAGAAAAACGCGTTTAAAGTTTGCTATACATTTATCACTAATACTGGTGAACAGCCTTTGAACCTCTGTAACTATGAGAGCTCAACGAATTTCAAATTAATATTTTAGAGGCACTTTCTCAAAAACCCAAATGATAAGAAAATGCAAAACAAAAATCGAATTTTTGAAGTTTCTAGACGATAATACCACCTTAAACAAATGTTGTGATAAGTAAGAATTACATCCAGAAATGATTTAGAGAAATCGAAACACAATGGCAAGATGGTTAGTTACAGGGTGGTGGCGGAGGTCGCAGGAAACAGCGAAGCGGTAACGTTGAGCGGTCTTAGGGCTGACACGCAATATCAACTCATCGTCACTGCCGTAAGAGCAGGCAAAAAATTTCGAAGTCGACCAATCGTCTTCCGTACACTTGGTGAGTCTTACGTCATTATTTATACAAAATGATAATTTTCTACTACGGCTGGGGTTCGAATAATTAACCCTATGACCGCGGGACGATTTTTGGTGGAAATTCTAAGAGGCGTAGAGGTGTGAATTTAAAAAAAGTATGAGCTTATATGGAATGATAAGGCGGAACTTTTTTATATTTACAGTTCATTTATAGGACGTTTAGTTTCAGAGATAAAAATCGAAAACTTAGACGACCTTTTCCCTTGAAATTCAATTTTTACAACAAACTTTTAACTTCTCAATTTTTATTTTCGAATCTAAGCGTCATATGAATAAACTGTAAATATGATAAAGTTTCCTTTTATCATCCCCTATAAGCTGATATTTTTTTTTTTAATTTATTTAACGAATATAAATATTTTTCTGGCCACATTTCTTGAGGGCGTATATATACGACCTTTCCAGTCAAATGATTAATACGTTTCTTAGTCTCATTAAGAAAATAATGAACGATTTCAATCCCCAAGGTTTGGATCTTCTTTAAAATTCAAGAAGATTATCTGAAACAATCAATTTTCCAATAAAGTAGACGTAATAAATGAATTGGTAACATATTTTTCCAAAGTAGAGGGAAATATATTTATTTACACGTGTAAACTCAAAAATACTTAATCGTATGGATTAGTTCTATGGCCAGAGTGGGCCCAACACTTTAATAAAATAAACAAACAAGACTACTTAAACTCTTAGAGAATATGTGGAAAATAAATTAGAGAAAATAAATGGAAAGAATGAATTAAGAAAATTATGATCAAATCGCTTTTCTGGAATAATATTTTTATAAGGGAAAATAATAATTTGCACAAATCATTCTAATAATTAGCACAAAGACATTCCATAATTTTGATACTGAAAAATTTTATTCGTATTGCACTCGCAAAAACACGTATTTTTCCTTTGCTTAGAATGTATTAAATTGCTTTAAAAGCTTCTCCGTATGGTGTGTTAATATTTCAAATAAGGAAAATTAGTCGAGTGGTTTACATCGATTAGTGGAGAAATGACTAAAAAAAATGTATGAAAGCAAATGGTCCCTTATCCAAATATTATTCAAGAAAATAATCCAGCGTAAATTACTAGTTAGCATACAAGAGATACATTTTAGTAGCAGTATATTTGATTGAAAAATACTGGGTTGGATGTTTCAGAACCGCCACGAACATCCCCTCAACAGGATGCAGCGGTAACTGGAGGCCCTCTTCCTCCTCCTCCACCTTCTTCTCAGCAACCACAACCCTACATACAAGTAAGTTTACACGCATATGTTAATTTTGAACCAATTAGGATATAACTATCAGGCTGTTTATTTACCTTAACAGCCGATCCAATACGAATTTAATATCAAGAAGTTTGCAATTATTCATAATTAAAACATCTAAGATTAATATCCATGTACAATATACCACACAAATTTCAAATAAACATACTTTCTGATCCATTGGCACTTCTGAAATCCATTTGTATGCATAACAAATTTTTTAAGTAAAGTCTTAGTTATCCATTCTCATAAAGGTAAATTGACTAAATTGAATCATGTTAAATATATTCTTAAATTGTGACATTTCTGACAAATCGAAAACATATTTATCGATTATCACTTTTTATATGTTAGAGCCTAATACATACAGAATTACTAAAATAAAAATATTTTCTATTTGTTATAAATATTACAATGTAAGTGATTCAATTTAGACTTTTTTAAGGGGAAAGAATATGTGTAAACGTTGATAACAACAACCATAATTTGAATAACAACGCCGATATAAAATAGAATATTTTGTATTATTTTCATTACTCAAACACAATATGAACTTATTGAAAATTGATGAGCGTCTTAGTGTAGGTACTAGTAGGTGTAGGTACTTGGTCTAGAATAATGATATCAACTAAAGCACTACCACGTGCTATTAAAACTTTGCATAAACTACTTTGGACATAACTCAACTTTTTTCTGTTAATCAATACATTCAGGGTGCATGCACACTTCAGCAGTGACATATTTAACGAACTTATTATATTTTACAAACTTATTTGACCCTGTTCTCGAGTTATAGTCATTTAGTACACCACCAATACGCTGTAGAGTATGCTGCAGTAGTTCTGTCAGAGATTTTCTTGGTCAATATTTTGATTGCTTTAAAAAAAAGTATATGAACTATTTATGTTAGATTTCCATCGAGTAAACATCTCGACAAGTCAGAAACGTTATGATACGGTACTTAGGATCTCTTTACATACTCAACAATTTTATTTTTATAATTCAGATGGATTCTGTTTTTACTTGTAGTATTTTATCATATTATATCACCCAGTAGTATTGCTCAAGCCAGGTTGTTATGTTTGTTATCTACTGAACGTTTATTTTAATTTCTACATTTTATCGATTTATTATTACATTTTCAAGATTCTTGAACTTAAAAGAGAACAAAATAAGATTAAACTATAAGATTAATACAAATTTAAACTATCATTAAGAATTCTTGAATTATAAAGATGGCTACAACTTGAAAACAACGGGCATACGTTTGTACAAACTATAAACATTATTTTCGTGATTTCAGCTCACTACTGAAGCGAGTTTCAAATGTTAAGAAACATGTATGGTTGACAGTCGAATATTCTGACAGCATAACAGGAAGCTCACTTTGTGCTTTTAATACGTTCTAGCGCCACATCAATTATTGAAAATTATTGGAACTCGATTTCAGAAGCGCCATCCCACACCTGTCTGGTTCTCACATATACAGACACATGCATAACAGCGTGTCTATTACAATTTCGGCCATCACGTGCACCTCAACGGCCTTGTTGAGTTACTAGAGACATGCATACATACCGGCCATTGTATCACGTGCTTTGTATCATGCTGATCGAATATGTATGAAGCGTTTCCCCAATTCGAGAGTGCGTACATTGTACACATTATGATATCTTATGAATCTAGGGGTGTTAAACACGTGGCTGTGTTTCCCAAATTGTGGCGGGATAGAGCGAAATAAAACATGCTTTCGAAAGAATTTTATTATTATAAAAAACACACATTAAAAAGTATTCTGATATTAGCAGTAAATGGAGAGTGAAACTTTTAAGTAAATTTTCTCAACTCGATTCCTGGTGAAAGTAATAACAAAAAATCGGTGGGTCGGTTTTGTATTTTTAGTCACTATGATATTGTTATTAGGGAACCTAAATTCTTAAGTAACTGAATCAATTCGGTGTTTTTATTGCGATAACGACTAGTACAAGAAAGATAAAAATATAGCGACAAATGGACTACCTATAAGGGAAGTTCAGTAATTGATACACTCGGAAAAATTTGAATTTTTGCAGAAATTGAGTTCATGAAAAACAAATCACAGTGTTATTTTCATCTTGGTCCAAAAAGAGGGGTTTTTAAGGTTAAAACTTCTCTTCGAAATAATTCTGGTTATTTATATCCTTGTTAATATCTCTGAAACCATAAGAGGTAATAAATAAAATTGACTATAAAAATTATTTTTCACATCCTCGGTCAAAATTAAGCATAATTAGTTAAATAACGTACAGGAGCAATTTCTATTATTTACGAGAAGAAAATTCTAATATGTCGTGCACATGTTGGATGTCTAGATCGCCTGGTTGTATCGCCGCGACCTAATCGGTCGTCGTTCTAAGTAATCTTATTTAAGCCGAATTAGTGTCTCGACAATATCGGCTTCCATTAAGTCGTTAATTGGATCGCGAAGTTGTCACGTCCTATATGATTTGTCAGTCACGAGTTTGTCGAATGAGAGGTCAACGTATATGTATACTCGTCTTCTGATATTTTCCGAGCTCCACGATATTCCTGGTCACGAAATCGGAGTTTACGCTTGAATTCCTCCAAAATTGGGCCATTTCGTGATCGAAGGGATCACAATCGATTTCCTCCCGTCGCACTGGTTTTCCGTTCGTTTTCCATTTAGATGACTGTGATAGAGTGGTCTCGCTAATCGCTGACTTCTCTCTCGCGTTATCACTTCCTCTAGACAAATGGTGATCCCTGTCCCCATTATATTTAACCATCCACTGCATAATACGCCTATTCAGGAACTGAACCGACACAGTTACAGTATAGTTTACTAAGGTAATTATACGGGATTTGTGCATAATGTTTTCTGATGGGAATGTCTAATAGCTCTGGTTGGTTCAATTACTCCATTTTTTCTCTATTTCTCTTATCCATCCTATCATCCTTTTTATCGTCCCCACACAAACTTTCCTATACCTCTTTTAAATTTACATCTATTACTACTAAGAAGTATAACTACTGAAACTATACATATATTAAAACTATACACCATTACGTCTTTGGTCTTGCCTTTACTCTTGCTTTTCTCTTATTAACTTCTTTTCCCTTCCCTATTTCTCTTATCTGTTCTATTATCCTTCCATCTGCTCTCTCTTCTACCATTTGGTTCAATTATTCGTTCCTTGGAGTATTGAGTGATTCGTGAGAGGTGATATTTTCTTCAGTCTATTTCAGACACTTAGTGATTGAAATAATTACTCAAAATTATGGCTATATTAGAAATACACTTCTGCTCCACCAGTAATCCATACCATGAATCTAGGTGAAACAATGTTTTGCGTGTTAATTTTTAAATTGGTACCAAATAGATTAAAAATAAAATTTTGATGAAATTTCTTGAGGTATTATTACGGATTAATTTATCTTATGCGCTTACAGAAGTTACACATAAATTGTTCACATTTTAAATATCATCTTAAACGTTATATTTTTGCCATACTGATTTTTAAAAAATGTCATTCAACCAACAAAAATTTAAAATTTGTTCTTTAATATTATCTATTACTTATTAATATTATTCTTTAAATATTTTCTCTAATATAACATAATATTATAATTTTTTCTTTAATCTTTAATATTAAATATATATAGATATTTGTTATATGATATTTATATTATATTTATTATATTATAATAGTTGTATATAGATTGTACCACGTTATAAAATTTTCAAAAAGATTTTTAAGAAATCTGAGACGTGCTATCTTCAGGTGGACCGTTGTAGAAAATCTCGCCTTTAATGCATATTGCATAGTCTTTTTGAAGCTCACCTAGATAAGCCGCCGATGCAGTCAAGAGACATATCACGTTCGGTACTCCAATAAAAGCGTGCCTGCTATATGCTATAAGCTACTTACCCATAATGTAAAGGCAAGCATCGGATATTTCAATGTTTTGTTGGTATGCGTTATCTATACCTTGTGAAAACATTCTATAGATCGTGGAAGTAGGTGCACGTTTCTTTACACCCGTTGAAACCATTCAGATGAAAGCATCCACGCTGGTATTGCACATTCGTGCAGCTTGATGCGAAACGTATTGCGGGCTTTATAGCCGTGTAAAACAGAATGCGGAGTACTTCGCCAAACATCACGGTATCGCATCGTTTTATGCGTGACAAATGATGGGCGATGCAACTATAGGGTCGTACGTAAAAGGGTTGAAAGTGGCCTTGAAAAATTTACGGTAACAGAGGATGTAAAAGAAAAGCATAAAAAGTGTAGCAAGCATTTTAAAGGATCGCTATCTCGTGCTGAAATGTCTAGTACGAAACAATGAAGGTTAACCTTGTTGAATTCATAGACAGAACCTTATACACGCTTTGCACGTGTTTACTTGGGTCTGTGTTAAATAAAGTTTCAATTTCTTCAATTATTTTGGTAAAAGAGGACATATAGATCTGTTGAACTTTGATTAATTGTTGAAACTAAGATCGTATGCCAAACGTAGAGCAGGGAGAAAGAGAGATCAGTTCTGGAAGGAATTGCAAGTAGTATTAGACATTTTGGTCGGACGTCGCGAGGTCTGTGATTAACAAGCAGACCAATCGAATTTGTTCCCATCACCTTTACTCAAGCTAGTAAATCATTCTTAAACAAGGACCGATCTCTCTTTATACCTGTACTACATTACTGGCAACGAGATATTTATTCAATTTCACTCACGTCGAATTTCGAACAAATTAACCGCGTAATGGAATTCTCTATCTGCTCACATATCGTATGTCCACTTTTAGTGTTTCACAGAAAAACTGCTTCAAGAATTTATTACATATGCTATGTTCATACAATCAGAAGTTTTTTCTGAGGATATTATGTTCTTTGACATGTATTAGGTCATCCTAAAAGTTCATGTCATTTATATTCCTGTTACTCAAATGAATATGTGAAACATACTCTTAAGTGTTATAAAAAAAGGTAATCTCTCTCATTTTATAGTATTTTCTCGCCTTTCTGACATAGTCGTTATACCGTCACCATAAAATTTCTATTATTTGTTTTGTATTAAATATTGACACAATCTCCAGCACGAACTTATGGGATGACCTAATATATACAACGTTTGAGCAGTCAAAATAATGAACGTAGACACATACAATAAACAAAAATAGTCATTATTGTTCTATGTACTATTCTATGTACTATTAATTCTATGTACTATATTTTAACTGAATTATAATATCAATGGATTGCAGTACACATATAGCATGCCCATTATTTTTTATATTTATATAACACAAACAGCTGTTACCTGTTTCTTTATGTTGCATTAATATCCTTCATCTACTGTATATATTTATATACAGTACATATATTTATATATTTATATTTATATACAATAAATGAAGGATATTAATGCAGCATAAAGAAACAGGTAAAAGCTATTTGTGTTATATAAATATAACAAAAAAATGGGCACGCTATATGTGTACTGCAACCCATTGATATTATAATTCAGTTTAAATATAGTACATAGAATTTTCTGTTATTCGAAGTGGCAATTGCAAGAAAATGTGTCCATAATTGATACACACGCCCTACTGTGTTTGATGAAGGTGTAAATGCTGGTGTTGTACTAGGGGTATACATATCTATATGAATGACTGCGTAAATTGCAGGTCCGTGGCGTAGAAGTGGGTATAGTGGTGATGGTGTTGATCTTTTGGGCAGGCGCGATAGCGCTCTTCTTCAATCGTTGGGGCAAGATTCGCATGTTGCTGCCATATCAGCCTGACTACAAGGAACAATTAAAGGTTCCTGGGACTGGGGTATGCGCAGCGGCAAACGTCGCATGCACGCAACACCCGACTCAACACACCTGCTCTCAGGTAATACATACTTACACTCCAATCCTCGCTCCATTAATCAGTCACAACCAAATGCATACACCTAGTTCTGCGGCAAATGTCATTACGACATTACTTGGCTATCGTATTACAAGTATGGGCTATTGTAGAAAAGTTTGTTTCAAATTTCTTTGTTTGAGTTTGTAAACTATACACTCTACTGTAACACTTGACACGTTGTACAAAAGTTTGAAACGTTATGAGTTTTAAAACTAAATTAGAAATTCCTCTCTGCTTTATTATGCGTAGTCAATAATTGAGCCGTTCACCGCAGAAATCGATTAGCTTCACTTCTTGTGCCATAACTTCTTTATATTTATAATAACTTTCCTGAATAATAAAGATTAAACGACAACATTTGTTTGGCCATAGAATAATAAATAATTTATTTCAGAAGCCAGTTTCATTGCATTTTTCAACTTTTGGTTTTATGGTGTTAATCGATTTGTGCAATGAACAGCTCAATTGTAATAATTTAATATTCGACTCTTTAGAACAGAGTGTGTATTTTTTGTTGACCAGGCATTAAATTGAAATTAAATAAGGTTAATAACTATTAATTAAATAACCTTGCTAGTATAGTTACGATACCTATTTCAATGTTTATAAAAATTGAAATATTTTGAAGAATACAGTAAACAAAGTACGCAAGTCTCATCTCTGCAATAAGTGTCCATTTTGAATAATTACTGTTAGTTGACTCTTGTTATTAAGTGAGTAGATTTTGTTTGGTAAAAAATAGTAATGTCGCAATAGTCCAATACAATCGAAACAAAATTTTGAGCAGGACTAGGTGAACTTCATTGATGTGAATATAAATTGAAATTTATTACAGTTAAATTAAACTCCTAATAGCTAGGTTAACTTTTCGAAAGTGGTGTGACGCTTACTTGCGTGGAAGTTTGAAATCCATACAGTAATATATTTATTTGAGAAATTAATTTACGTACAGTTCGAATGAATGTTTTTCGATTTGCTTGGGCAGTTGCTAGATTGAATAGGAGCCAATAACATCGATAGAATATTGGAACTGTACTTTTATCTTAGAGTGCATATTATTAATCGTGCATTGTTTAAATTATGAAGCGAAATTAAAAAGAATATTGATTTAATAGTGCATACGAGGTATAAAATTATAAACACACAGTATCTTTCTGAATTATTAAGTAAATTAAAAATAAATGATAGCTTTATGAACGAAATTTCTCAACTTCCATCATGGAGATCCACAACTACTATTATAAATTCTTTTGCACTCGATTATGAATTTATACCTTTCAAGCTAAACGCACTACATTATGCATTCAGTACAAACTAATTTATCCCATCGATCAATTTCCTATAAAATAACCGTGATACAAGCACAGACATATTCCAAACTAATTCATTGAAATATATACTCGTATAGAGTTAATAACAATTTCTTTTACCTTATTTTTACATAAATCATTTTTGTATCTCTTTAAATTTCTGTAATAATTCAGTCGATCATTTTACACCAATTACTCTGTATATTCTGATTAAAAATCGATTTTGTACGTAACCTAGTGAACAGATTGTAGATACTTGCAAATCTTCATATTTGTTGAGTGAAATCGTTTTTAAACATTTCAATTCATTCAAATTGAACAGAATCTTTGTGCAATCTTAATTATTATTTTTCTTTTTAATGAAACGTTTAAAAAATCAAATAACAAGTATTCTTTGATGTTGGTAAAATTCTCATCATTTAAAAATTCATCATTTATTCTCCAACAATGCTTGCTCTTTCTGACTCAATTACCAATACGTTTACACGCTTTTGAAATAGTGGTTAACAATAATTTTAGTATTTAGCGAAGTGTGAGAATAGAAGGCATGCAAATTTTTCATTATAATGCTTGGTTATGAATACCTATATGTCACAGTGTATTACATTTGCAATATTCATTTACAAAATTTGTAATAGTAATATTTAATTAAACACAATGGTCTGAGAAATCGCTATTTTAAACAGAATGTCCAGATTACGTTATACCACAATTTTTATTACAAAATTCTAATTATAGACAAACAGGTACAATTAAGAAACTATATTAATAATCTCTTATAATTGTATTATATTATAATTCTATTAATAGCGAGAAATTAATGCGTAGACGTCTGACAAAGTTTTAATTCATTGACGTTTGTTTACGGGTCGTCCCCTGACGTACTGCACAACGCAGTCAACGTATTCAAAATTTTCATACACCAGACGTCATGCTTTTACGTCATCGTTATGATACACAACTACCGAGATCGACTTTTCATTTTATTTAGACTCGAATCCCAAGTTACTCGAATGCTAATTGCCCATGGGAGAATGGTATATTTTTTGCAACGAGAGCTTCTCATAGATTGATCCATTGTATTCGACGTATGCCTCACAGACATATATGAACATATAAGTGATAATTATATGGGAATATTGACGATATAATGAAAATTTGTTAAGCCAGTTAACCCAGTCTCGTAGTTCAAATTGATTGCAATTACTCAAGGGGTTTGTAGTTTGTAGCCTTTTGAATCACGAATTATTGCAAAAGAAGATCGTAAATTTTCTTTTTAAAACGACAGATTTAATATTACTTTTTATTATAAAAATAATAATTTAAATTACACATCTGTATTAAATCTTGGTGCCCAAGGCAAAACGCTTTTAATTTGCCTGCCAGTGAATCGGTTAAACGACATTTTGAAGTGATGGAAGCAAAAAAATAAAATCGTATTTTTAAGTCCATACGATAATACGATTACATTTTTTTTCAACAAGAGTTTTTCATGAATTAATCATGGAACATCGTATTATATCCATGAAAAACTCTCGTTGCAAAAAATAAAATCGTATTTTTAAAGGTAATTTATACTCAGAAAATAATATTAGCTAAATTTTTACTATCTAAAATAAGTAAATAAAGGTATTTTATGATCAATTTTGTCAACACCGTATCTTATCGCGTGAAAAAAGTCGGACTTGGCAGTTTATCGATGCGTTTAAAACTTTGATCGCCATTGTTTAAATGGAATCGGAAGTTTTACATGTTTCCGAGAGCTCGTCGTGGAACAATTACGACACCGTATCGACGTTTCCTTATCGAAATAGGTATTTGTCGAACGTTTAACTGCAAACCATTCTCTCGTATTCGGCATACGAAGCAGACATAGTTTGGACGTGTCAACAGTATTGATTTAATTAGACCCAACTGGAATTCCCTTTGGGTAGCAGTAGAGGAAACGGGCACTTTCAACGAAGTCAATACGTCGGAAAGACGTATGGCCTCGGATCGAATATTGAACCGAGAGAAATATGTTCTCCCTTAAGCTCTTCGGACCTGAATTTCTTTTTCTTTAGGTAAAAAAAGAAAATTCTTCGCGTATCTCGAGTCACTTCGCACTCCATAAATGTAACTTAAATAAAAGATAACAATGTTTGTGTGATTTTTAATAAGTACAGTGATTGTTATTGAAAATGTACAATAGTGGGTCGGTTTTGTATTTTTAGTCATTATGATATTGTTATTAGGGAACCTGAATTCTTAAGTAACTGAATCATTTCGGTGTTTTTATTGCGATAACGACTAGTACAAGAAAGATAAAAATATAGCGACAAATGGACTACTTATAAGGGAAGTTCGGTAATTGATGGACTCGGAAAAATTTGAATTTTTGCAGAAATTGAGTTCATGGAAAACAAATCACAGTGCTATTTCCATTTTAGCCCCTAAAAAGGTTCTTAAGGTTAAAACTTTCCTTCGAAATAATTCTGTAATAATAATTGTTCGGGTTTTATTTCTGCGAAAATTTAAATATACGCTGAACTTCACTTGTAAATATCGAGAGTATATTCGTTCAACGTTATTCGATGCTAAACGATTTCGCTTGTTTAGTAATAGTACAAGGCAGAGATGGACAAAATTAATGAGTACAATGACGAGCGAATATATTTATTCAACTAATATAATACTCCTGTTTGTGACGAACTGTTTACCTTCAGTTTTGAATCAAGTTTTCATCTTCATTTGGTGTCTTTGTTCGAAGTTTATTCGAATATCCTTGGAACAATGGTGTTGTTTAACGACACAACAACTTTATTCGAACCTAATGAAATCAATTGTTGAATGAAAAAAAAAGTATCTTCATTCGTCGTACAAATTTACTTCTACTAAATATATTTGTCAGTTATTCGTTGAATAAAAATTATTTAGATTATTTAATCCTTCAAATAATATATGAAGACACGACTAAATAAATATGCGTGCAGCATAAACTTTTGTCTTTTGGCACCTATTATTAACAGAAACCTGTGTAAATCAGGAATCAAATATGCTTCTACTAAATATATTCGTCAGTTATTCGTCGAATAAAAATTATTTAGATTATTCAATCCTTTAAATAATACATAATATAAAGACACGACTAAACAAATATGTGCGCAGCTGAAACTTTCGTTTTTGACACCTTTTATTGTCAGAAACCGTGTGAATCAGGAATAATTTTTGTATACAAACAATGTCCATCTCTGGCGCAACAATGTAATAAACAAAATTGTCGAAAGTAGCTAGTATAACAACTACATGGTAGCAGTAGATAACTGGTTAAACGTGATTGGACTCGACGAACGAAAATCTAATGGAATTAATTTCTTTGTGCCTCTTCAAACTGTGTCGACCCATCGCGAAATCGCCGCTTCTCGTCTCGAATAACGAATAATCGAAAAATGACGGTTCGCCGGGAACGTACAAATACCGCCCGCAAAAAAACAAATCCCGAAGGTAATGACCACATTGTCGGATATGGTGATGCAGTGCGGGGGCGGGGGCTGTTGCGTCTTGGAGCAGTGCTTTCAGTACCCGAGGAGATCTCGAGAGCCCCGGGACTGCGGCTGCCAATTCGCTCTACTCCACAGGGCCGACATCGCGTGACCATCGGTACTTGTCAACAGTCTCACTGTTCTCTTCTTC